TAGTAGTAGTAGTAGTAGTAGTAGTAGTAGTAGTAGTAGTAGTAGTAATAGTAGTAGTAGTAGTTAGTAGTAGTTAGTAGTAGGTAGCAGTAGTTAGTAGTAGTTAGTAGTAGTTAGTAGTAGTTAGTAGTAGTTAGAAAGTAGTAGTTAGTAAGTAGTAGTTAGTAAGTAGTAGTTAGTAAGTAGTAGTTAGTAAGTAGTAGTTAGTAAGTAGTAGTTAGTAGTTAGTAGTTCGTAGTTCGTAGTTCGTAGTTCGTAGTTCGTAGTTCGTAGTTAGTAGTTAGTAGTTAGTAGTTGGTAGTTAGTAGTTAGTAGGTAGTAGTAGTAGTAGTAGTAGTAGTAGTAGTAGTAGTAGTATGCGAAAGCGACGTGTCGGCTCGAGAACACCGCTTGACTTTTCGCCACACAGTCGAGGCTGTCAGGCTTCGTGCGCTTTGCACCTTGAGCCAAAAACCAAAAGGCGGGCTCTTTCAGCCTAGCCTCAACCTACCTAACACCAGGAAGAGCAGGCACATAGGAGAATTCCTGTTTCACATTCGCCCTCCTGCCTGCTTTTCCCACCATCACGTCCCGCGTCACTCGGACCGCTGGGACTCCTGCCACTCGGGCGCCTTCAGTTCCTGGCCGCTCCGAGGCTCTTTTCTGCGTACGCGTCTGATGCTACTGCTGCCTGGAAATCGCAAGTGAACTGCTTCACGTTACTGACCCATTCTTGGAATCCTATGGCTAGCGGATCTTCCTGACCTAATGTCAAATGGAGTCCAATCTCATGGTTTCCCCGGCTAGCAGTGGTGAGCTCCAGTCGGTCACCTTTCTTGACCATTAGGGTCTTTCCACGCAATGCTCCACAGAAGTTGTAACGCGTACGCCCTGCTGCCGCATAGTGCGGTCCCAGGCTTTCCCCATTTGCAATGAAGATCTTCAAGCCTTGGGACCTTGCCTGGTGCACCAACCTTTTCTGCTCGGTGGTTCGTCCGGTCTGCGACTTATCAACATACACCTCGACGTCGCATCCTCCATCTTGCGCTGCTTTTAGCGCGCCGAACAACTCCGGCCGGTCGATGGCGCGCGCTGTGAGCCGAACCATGACTTCCTTCTTGGCGCTCTCGGCCGCACAAGAGGTCAGCACTTGTACTGCGCATTCTTGCGCCTCGGTAGCACTTCGCAGCAGCTCGATTGTTCGGATTGGTCCTGCCCCTATCGGCTTCTCTGGCACCACCGAACGGTCATCAGTCCGCGCCCTCGACTGGGCCGCTGGATCTTTGGTGGTCTTTTCTTTCCCGACCGGACTCTTCGAAGGAGTTTCAACTCCAGCCAGTCTCTGATTTCTTCCTCTCTTACCTGTCGTCTGCACTGGGGTCGTGGCCGAAGGCGGGAGAGCCGGAAACGATCTCGTTCTTCTTCCTTCTTCCTCAAGCCTAGCCTTCGCGCGAAGTGTTCGAAAATTTGGTGCGGGCAGAGGTGAAGCGGCACTTCGTGCACTTAGGGGCGACAACTCTTGCCCTTCGGGTTCACCCTTCTTTCCGGCATCGGTGTTTCTCTTCCCACGCTTCTTCCCAGCGCTAAACCCGGCCATCATCATTTCTTGGTGCTTCCACCATCTGCCCAAAGCCCAGACAGCCCACAAGGCCAAGATCAAGGCCATCCATTCGAACACCCTGGGCGGACTCATGTCCCTGGCCGGATTCAAGCGATTATCCTAGCCAGGAAAATAACCAAGCGGGGTCTAGCCAAGATGCGCCAGGGACTGAGGCTCCGCCATGGTCAGGCCCAGGGCCAGAGCCAAGCAAGTCGAATCACAACGATTCAGTTTCAATGTTTCATGTTTCTTCCCAGGCCTCCTGGAGTCCAATTGGGCTGCCACAAATGCAGGTTTAAGGGCGGTTGCGCGCGGTGTCGGACTCTGGCAGGGCTTGTCCTCAATGAGGAGAGGACCGCCTGGATTTTCAAGCCATAGATTTCACTTTTCCTTCTCAGATCCCAAGGCAGCTGAAAACGGATTGCAATCCCTATTCAGTTTCAATGTTTCATGCGACGAATGGTTGTTCATCAAAAAAGTACTATAGTTTCAGAGCAATTATTGTTTGACTTGTCACGACATTCGCATAATCATATGATTGAAATCGGAGACATGCATCATCATGGCACCATGATGGCTCAAATTCGAACAAGCCGCACTAGGGTCTAAGAAGACCTTGAACAGCTCATTGGGAGCATTGTGGAGGACATAACCATAATTGGCAGCTCAGACGAGGATGGCTCCGATATTGAGATGATGGAGGCGCCAAAAAGCTCACCTCCGCGACCACCAAGGCCTGGTTCCGGGCGCATAATGATGCAGTGATGTGGATGATATATCATTTTGTGGGAACCGGTTAGGGTGATAAATCTTTTTACAAGACCTTCAGTCAAGTATATTCAAAAGCGCAAGTTTTGGGACACTGAATCATTTCATATCAAAGCCGACTCATCCGCTAGGCAGCTGCAAATATCCGTATCGGATGCAGGGCCTGCTCCTTGGGAAGGCCGGGAAGGCGCCTTGCAAGCCAGTTCAAGTTTGTGTGACTTGGTCATCGACAAAATTGAAGAAGAAGGCGCCAACCAGATTCAATGCCTTCCCCACCACTTCATGGAGTTTTATTCACCTCCACGGGTGGCACTGCCGCTACGAAGAACTGGCTTCTTCGCGCGGTACAGTTTTGATTTGATGACTGGCTACGATTTCTTGAAGTTTGAAGATCGCGCCAGAGCACTGAGATTGTATGAGGCGCATGCACCTTTTTTCGTCATGTTATCTCCGCCATGCACTATGTTCAGCAAAATGCAAAACCTAAATTTGAAAAAATGCAGCCGCAGATTCGCAAACAGAGGTTTGCAGACGCCAACTGCATGCTGGATTTTGCCATGCATATTGCCGATCGGCAGCTGAGAGGCAACCGTTTCTTCTGTCATGAACATCCATCGGGCGCATCCAGTTGGCGCAGAGCATCAGTAGCCGAACTTGCAAACCAACCCAATGTGTTCTTGGTTTCTTTTGACCAGTGTCGAACTGGTCTGAGGACTCCTTCCGGCTTGAAACCTATCCAAAAAAGG